CGCCTCTGCAGCCCCCTGCACTCTCCTGGATCCTGAAGCGCCCTTCTGCACCCTTCCAAGCCCTCCTGTACCCTCTTGTCCTCTGCAGCGTCTTTCCCTGCCCTTTTGCATCCTCACGCGCCCTCCTCCATCCCGCCGCGTCCTCCTGCACATCCTGCATCCTCCCACACCCTCCCGCGCCCTGCTGCAGTGTCTCGCACCCTTCTGTGCCCTCCTGCCCCCTCAGTGCCATGGTGCGTTTGCAGCCTCCAGCCCTCGTGCCCCCACCGGGACAGACCATCACTGGCCATCACAGCACGGCCAGAACCCAAAAATCCCCCTTTTCCCACCCTCTGCACCACTACACTTCCAGGCCTGTTCCCACCTGGCTTTTGGGACACAGGACTGGGATCCTGGGAGCTGCAGTGGGAAATGGGCAGGGGGGGATGGACTCAGCTGTCTCTGGCTGCAGGGGCTCTTGAGGAAGAAGAGCCTAAAATATTGCTGCCTTCTCCTTTTTTTTCTCCCTATTGTCAGGAAAATCAATTCATAAACACCAGATGTTTCTGTCCAAAAAGGAGACAGAGGAGTCCTGTAACTTAATTCAAAGAAAGGGAGAGGCCATGGGGCATTCCTCTGGGGTCTCTCCAATTTTTGGAGCACACAGCGTCCTTTTTTATCCTTTTTATCCTAATTTCCCAGCTACATTTCCCTCTCTCTTTTCCTGTTGGCTTAGGTACTTGAGAGGTACAGACTTCCTGAAATGCCTAAGGCCCCTCCTAATGTATACCCCACTTTTCTTTGTGTCTCTGTTCTTTTTTCCTAAATCCAGAGATTTAGCACAGTCTTGAGTGAGCAACAGTCTGTGTCAATTAGTGGAATTCCTATGGAATTTATGGTTCCCCCATTGCTTCTTTCACCTCTCCCTGTCTGGCCTTACCTACCATCAGGTCCACAGTTTGTAAAGACACCTCCTTCTCATTCCTTCCCCTGTCTCACATTCTGTCACATGCCTGGCGGGGACCCCAAGAAGAAAAAGCTGAAACTCTGCATTAAGATGTTCCTGGGATCTTGTTTAATTGCCACAAATTTGTTTGCAATTTCGGAACAGCCCATCAGGCATCAGCCAGACCCAGAGCAATTGCTCTGAGTCTGGTTTGGCCGTGCACATCCCCCAGAGTTATTTAATTTTAGTACAGCAGCTTCCTGACGCCACTGGGCTTTTGGCTTGTGCCAGCAGATATAACAATATCAGCTACTACATCCTCATGCCCAGAGAGTGCATGTGAGGAAAGGTGAAATAAGATCATTTCGAGCTCACGTTTCTCTCCCTCCTTTTATTCCAGAATTGTTCATTCATCAGCAGCAGATCCGGCCCCTGCGTGGGGAATGGGAAATCTCGGGTTGCTCGGCCACAGATTCTCAGGTGACTTCTAAATTTCATTTAATTCACTGGCTCCACAACCAGATTTCCCAGCTTCCTTCGTTAAAAGGTGAAATGGTGGGAGAGGGACTTGCTGCTATTGTTTCTGGAAGCCCCCAGTGCTGTGCTTTGCTCTCAGCCCCTGCTCCAGCCCCAGTGCTCTCACCAGTCATTCCAGGAAGGATTTATGGCCGGATGAGCCGAGAGGTGAGGCAGGATTGCAAAGCCAAGGGCTCTCTCCTCTGCAGGCTTCCTCCTCTGCCCTTGAGCGTGTCCCTGCCTGCCTTCATTTCCCCTCCAGCCCTTTGTGTGCTGGAGCACAGCAATCACCAGCCACTGCTGCTGCCATGGCAAGGATCCGGGAATTGCACTGCCCTCAAAGAGTCACTGCTGTGGGAATTCCCTTCTCCCTCCCCTCTCCAGTCTCTTGTCCATCTGGCCTTTCTTTTGACACAAACTATGATTTTTCCAGCATTGCAATATGCCAGGGAGCAGGCAGGGATAGCCCTGATGCCAGCTGAGGTCTTGAGGCACAGCTCTAACACATCAGCAGTGACATCTCTGCTTTGTGGATAAATCCCTTCCCTACAAGGAACTTTATCCATGCCCCACCGTTTTTAAGACAGGAGAATTAGATTCTTCACTAACTTCAAGTCTGACCCCTGTAGGTTTGAAAAGATCTTTGAAGAAATACCAAATATTTTCAAATCCCTTTATTCCTTGTTGTGAGAATAAATCTTGTTCTTTTTCCATCAGAGAACAAATAAACAGTGGAGAGGCTCCCAGGAGCTGAAGCCTTACTGGGATCTTCAAATCAAATCAACTTTTCCACAAGGTAGGAGACATATCACTGACTTCTTCAGGGGATCCTGGGGATGGGGAGGTGCACCCCAGCCCTGTGGGCATCGTTGCTCTTGTGTGGTCCAGCAAAAAGCTTCTGATTCAATTAAAGTTGAAATTAAATTTAAAACAATTACATTTGTAAATTAAGTGCAGCAGGGTAATGGTGCCATTTACCTCCTCTTCCTTTAGCTCCAAGGAATATGGATTCCAACAGGTAAACCTGCTGGTGAAAATACCACTGGACACAGGAGGACTGACAGGAGTGTCCTTTGGCCTTTGTGTCCCCTAAAATAGATTGATTCATTTTTTCAGTTTTAATAAATTTCAGAGTGAGATGCATTCCCAGTGAAGATCTACTAATCCAGGACCCTGCTATAGAATTAAAATCCACAGGGTCTGAAGGTTTGGGGAACAAGTTGGGAAGGCCCCAGGGCACTTTGGCATTCCATTATTTGGATTTAAGAAGTGGGCAGTGTCTGATTCTCTGAGCCTGGTGTTTAAACCCACATTTGGCCTAAGGCTCAGCAAGCCAAACCTCGAGGAGACCAATTTATTTCTGCATGGTGCAGGGCCATCAGAGAGTAGCAGTCCCTTGGGGAGCACAACAGGGATGGAGGAGGGAGCCAAAGGCAGCAGAATCCCGTGTGCCAAATTTGGGAGAGCTCAGGAAAGGCCTGGTGCCATCTGCAGCCCATGCCTGGCTGGTGTTTTGTTTTCCTGCAGATGTTTGGCTGTAGCCCAGCTAAACACCACCTGGGCATTGCCCAGGAACTGTGGAGTTTGGAACTGGGCAGGTGCCTCAGGTCTGGGACATCACCCCCTCCTGTCTGCAGTGGTGCTCTCAGCAAAATCCAGGCAGAATGGGGTGTCCAAAGGCCAGAGAGCCAGGCTGTGAAAACACAGGGCCCTCTGGGGATTGTGTGGGGCTTTCTCTTGCTGCAGGTACCACCCCTGCATGACCCAGCAGCAGGTGGCCCAAATCAAATATTTGGGACACAAGCCCAGGAACTCCAATCCATGCTTTCATTTAGCAAACTGCTTCAAGCCAGCCTCTGTCTTCAGTCCTTGAGTAAATTCACTGGTTTCTCCTAAAATCAGGAGTGGCTTAAAGGCTGTGCTAACTGGCACGGAGCCGCGGCTGCCGTGCACACTACAAACTGAAGGGACTGTGCTTCCAGCAAACCACGGCTCCGTCGGCCTCAGCTGAGTAATTAACATTAATTAACATTACTCTCCTGAGGAAGGGGTAAAATCCTGCCCCGAATCAGGGAAACTGCCCAGCTCTGAAATCCCAACATTCTGAGCTCTCCAAGTGCTGCTCTTGGGGGCTCCTGCTGCGTTTCCTCTTTCTGCTGGACACCAGGAGGGCACTTGGGCGCACACAGAGCTCTGCAGGCACGGCTTTGGCTGCCCGCAGCATTTGAATCCTGTTCTGCCGCCTTGCAGCACCTCCCGAGCTCCGCTTCCTGACATGTGGAGGCTGCTTGAGCATTCCCGGGATCCGCGGGCATTCTGAAAGCTGTAACTACAGCGTGAAAAACGCCAGTCACTTGTTTTTAAAATTTTTAAAAGTTTAATAGTAATAAAATGGTTATAAAAATAGTAATATGAGTAATAAAATTTGAACAATTGAGATTAGGACAATATGAGACAATAAAAACAAAGAGATACGGACGTCCGGGTACCTTTTTCTGGGCAACACAAGCCTGAAAAAGGACCCCGGTTAACAGAGGATTAACCCTTAAAAACCATCGCCTGTTGCATATTCGTGCATCTCATACATGATGCATAAATTCCATTCAAACACAGGATTCTGTCTGGTCACTGTCAACTTCCTCTTAATCCTAATGCCGTCTTCCTGTCCGATCCAGGTGGGAAGAAGTTAATTTTCTGCTGATAAGGGAGCAATAAATTCTCTTTCTCTGAAAGATTTAGGTGTCCTGTGGCTTCTATCTGGTGCGAGTCCTTTCTTAAACAAATATCTTACATAGCACAGTTTCTATTTTAACATTATGTTATAACCTAAAACTATATTTAATACACTACTTAGGCAAATTAATACAGCATAACTTTCTAACATAACACATACAATATTCATTTTAATACTTGCGAAAAGCCGATCATAAAATACACATTTTTCACACTACGTAGTCAGCAAGCACAGAGCTGTGTAAAGGCTGAGGCCCGGCTCTGCGGCTCCAGGATCCCGGTGGGACGGAGCCTCTCGCAGCCGCCTCCCGGATTCCAGCAGCCCCGGCGGGCAGGGCAGCCCCGGGCGGGCGGCAGCGGGGGCGGTGCGGGGCTATCCCTCGCCTTCCCCGCCTTCCATCCCTCCCTCCCTGCAGCCCCGCACTCCGGCCTGGGAGGCGCTGGGAGCGCTGCTGCGGGGGCTGCGCGGTAAGGAGCGGCAGTGGTGCGGGGAGAAGGCTCCTCTGGGCGCACGGAAAGCACCGGCAGGATCCCTGCGGAGAGCTCTGGCAGCGCCGCTGTTCCCCGCCGGGAGCCGCAGCCCTGAGCTGCCGGAGCATCTCTTCCTGCACGGAGGCCGAACAACCCTCGATCTCCCGGTGCATTCCCGCATCGCTCCAGAAACTCGCCGCGGGCACATCCCGCCCCGGCAAAGGGGCACGGAGCCCTCCCGACAGCGCCCGGGCTCGGTGCCTCGGACAGCGCCTGCTCGGGCACCGCCACCAACAGGATGCGGCCGGGAGCCTTCCGGGGCGGCGCGCCGGGACAGCGCCCGGGGCTGCGGGCTCCGGGGGGACGCGGGGCCGGGCGGGGAGCGCCGTGCCCGGGAGCTCGGCCCCGGCTCCCCGGGAGCTCCCCCGGCTCCCCGAGCGCTCCCCCGGCTGCCGGGGCCGAGCTCGCCCAGGCCGAAGGGCCCCGCTCGCCTCCCCGCGCGGTGCTGGGTTCAGCTCCCCGAGGGACTTTGGGTGGCTGCTGAACGGGAAGGGACAAAAAGCAGCAGGTGCTTGGGAAAGCGCAAGGTGGATGTGTGGTTGTGGTGCTAACAGGAGAAAATTGATTGGCTTTTTAAGAAAAAGGCAAAGCCAGCTAGTAAAAGCCTCCATGTTTTACTGGTAGTTTTCCTGCTGCGCTGCTCAGTGAATGATTTGAGGAAACAGCCGGTGGGTGGGGGCAGCAGTGGAGTTGCACAGTCCTCAGGGCTGTGTAAAAACCTGGAAAGCTTTTCCTGTTGGACGCCGCTGTTTGCTCCTGTGGTTAGCTCAGGGCTGTGGGAGGGATTCCTGGAGAGCAGGTTCACGCTCCCTCGCTGGAGCCTCCCGGGCAAAGTCCTCCTCGTGGCCCCGCCGGGAGCTGGAGGTTTCAGAGCCTGCGGTCCCTGGCTAGGGACGCGGCAGGAGCTCGGTCCGTGTGACATCCCCGGCTTGCTGCCTCCTCGCAGGTGCCAGCTCAGCCAAGCATGGCCACCCAGATGTTCGAGGGCAGAGGGCATGCGGCCGTCTACCAGAAATACAGGTTTGCACCGGGCAAAGAGCTGCAGCACACCATCCTCTCCTACCTGCGGGAAAAGGTGAGTGGGGTACGGCCAGGCTGGAGGAAAAATCCAAGGGGTATTTAATTGTGGGTGGGGGAAAAGTCCAAGGGGTATTTAATAGTGGGTGGCAGTGTTTGCCTTGCTGGGAGTGTCACCTTGGTCGGTGCCCCAGGGAAAGATAAAGCAGCAGGGTTCATGGCCAAATGGGGGCACACGAGAGGCTTTCCACAGGTTCTGCCACGCCAAGGCTGTTCCTGAGCGGGTGCTGGGGGAAGGAATGGGGTAAAAGCCCAGGAATTGGGTGGCTGCCCACTGAGACACATCCACCCCTCCCTGCAGAAGGCCATCCCTGCGGAGCTGGCAGTGGACGTTGGCTGCGGCTCTGGACAAGGCACCCACTTCCTTGGGGAGCACTTCAAGAAGGTGGTGGGCACGGACATCAGCGAAGCGCAGATCCAGGAGGCCAAGGACACCCCCGGCATGCCCAACATCTCCTACCTGTGAGTGTCAGGCCAGCACGCTGGGCCAAAGGCAGAATTCAGGTGCTCACGCGGAGGTGGTGCTTTGTGAGCATGACTGAGCCAGCTGGCACCAGAGATTCCATCGGATGGAATTCCCGGTGCCAACAAGCGTTATCCTAGACTTCAGAAGCTGTGGGCTTGCGTCCCAAACCATCCAAAAGCACCCTCTGATTCCACGTCCGTGGCTTTTCCCCTTTCCCTGCAGCGCGTGCCCTGCGGAGGAGCTGCCGTTCCAGGAGGCCTCCGTGGACGTGCTGACCTCGTTCACGGCCGCGCACTGGTTCGACATCGAGCGCTTCATGCGCGAGGCGCAGCGCGTGCTGCGGCCGGGCGGCTGCGTGGCCATCAGCACCTACACCCTGGACATGAGCCTGCGCTACGGGGACTGCTCCCAGCAGCTCACCAAAGTCTTCAGGGAGGTCAGCCGGGAGAGCCGCAGGGCAGAGAGGGAGGAGTGGGACTGAGGGGCTGCGAGGAGAGGAATCCTAGTGCAGAGTGGGGTAAATGCAGGGATTTAGAGGCTCCCGCGCTGGCCTGGCTGGATCATGTGGAGGGGGACATGAGGACTGATAGGGCAGACTCTGGTGGGGGTGAGAAGGGTGCCGGAGCAGATCTGGGAGCTGGTATTGTCCAGGAGACTTTTCCTGTTGCCCTGATCACAGCGAAAAGAATGGGAAGTAGATACTGTTGGGAAGAAGGTCTTTTTTTAGGAGTCTTTCTGGACCAAGGGTGTTTTAAGAATTGGATAAAAGGAGACTTTCCACTATGAGTAAGAGCTGTGTAAGGAGGACAGGAGCCTTATTTCTAGAACAGGAGCCTTGAATTCTTTATATTAAGCAAGATTTTGGTGTATTTTAATGCAATAAGTCTTTTAAAAAATAGGACATATATGAATGTATCACATGCAGGCCCAAACCTGAGTTAAGTGGCATCTGAGAACTTCAGGTGGTTTTGTGTTTGTTTTTAATACACTGTCTTTACAGTGCTGGGACAAGACTTTAAAATACTCAAATGACAGAGTAAAATACGTCATGGATGACTACAAAACAATCTTTGAGGCCTTGCCGTTCCCAGACAAGAAGAGGTGAGCAGAACCACCTTTGATGGTGTCAGACATTGTATCACCACCATGCCAGCCTGCGGTCCGTGTTGCCCTGCCTTTGAGATTTAACTTGCCAATGCTCCTTTCTTGCCCATGTCTCTTGCAGAATCACTGATATCTATGACCCAATTCCCATGACTGTTGAGGGTGTGGTTGGTTACATCGAGTCCACCTCTTCATATCAGACCTTTAAGAGGAGTGACCCTGCAGCTGCAACCTCCCTCCTCCAGGAGACTGAAAAGAGGTGAGCAAACCAGCAGGGTGTGGAGGACCTGTGCTGTGCAGTGCATGCAGAGGGAGCTTGTGCAGACCCCTCCAAAGCTGCAGGGGAGTGTGCAGGGATGTGCTCCCTCCATTCCAGGGCTGGACACTTGTCAGGGGTTCAGCAGCAGATCCTTAGGCTTTAAGCCTGTGTAGCAGCAGGAGGTGCCTGCACCAATGGATCCATGAAACCTCTGACACGAGACTTATCCTGAGTTTCTTTACCTTGCTTTTAATTGGCAAAGGGCATGAAAAATACTGGTGGTTGCATCTTCACCTGTCGAGCTTTAGTGGGTCTAGGGCCTTCAGAGAGACACGAGCAGTTGTGGGCTGCTCTGAGGTTCTTTATGGCATGGATCCATCAGTCTCGAAGGCACAGAGGTCAGGGTGTTCAAGTCAGGGCTAAAAGCTTTCTGGCTCAGAGTCCCAAGCAAGGGGAGCAGCTGCAAGGAACAGTCCCAGGTTCTGTGCAGGAACAGCAGCAGCAACAGTTGTTCCCTGGCACAGAGTCCAGTGCCTGAGCAGCAGCAGGAACAAGTCTGATGTTCTCAGCAGCAGCAGGGACCACAGCTTGCTTTCTTCTTTCCCCTTCTTCTTTTCTTTCTCTGTTTTCTTCCTCTTCTTCTCTTGTGGTTGTTGATAGTTGTGGTTGTGTTGGTCGTTGATATTGTCTTTTGCACCCTGTTACAGAGACTTTTTATTCATAAAACATCCAATCAACTGAAAACACGATTCTAAAACATTCTTTCTAAACCAATCTAAATTTGATTCTAATGTGCAGTAGTACAAAAGTAGTGTCAGTTCTTTAAAAACTGCATGTATAATATTATCTATTTATGCAAATGTACTGTTTCCTTGCTTGAAAGTTTACCTATCTACGAGAATAGTTCTGTTCATTTACGTATGTAGTTTTATCTGTTTTATGTGAATAATTCTATCTATTCTATCTATTCTGCCTGGCTGCAGGGTTCTGCTATGTTTTTGTTATGTCCAGGACTAAGTTGCTGAGCTTTAAACTAGGCCTTAGGGCCTTTGCTAGCTAGTGCAGTTTCTTAAGGCACTTGAAATGTATTTCTGCTTACTTAAAACCTAAAGCTTAAACTTACTTAAAACTGTAACTCGCACTTCTATTTACTGAAAACTTAAACCTACACTTGTACTTCATATCTGTATGGTTTAATGTATCTTAATTTCTCGAAAGGCTTTCATTCAACCCCTGCATTCACCTCCCTCTCTGAGGAGCTCAGAGAGGCTTGCATTCCAACACTGACCCATCTGTTTCAGCCCCAGCAAGGGCCTGTGGGGAAGGGGTGCTGCTCATTTCTTCCCTGACCAGAAGAACCCTTGTGCAGCAGCTGGAAGCATTTGCCATCCCCCCTGTGTGCTGTGGGTGGAAGGGATCTGGCTCTGGCTCTGGGTGCTGCCCCACATCAGGGAGGAGCTGTGTGGGCAGGGTGAGACCCTTCCTCTGCTTGTCCTTGCAGGATGCTGGAGACAATGGGAGTTTCCTCTCGTGAGACCCCGGTGGAGTTCTTGGTGAGGCACGTCTGTGTGCTGGGGCGCAAGGCGTGCTGAGAGCAAACCCTGCTCCTCATCTGGTGCTACAATGGAAGGGGAAGGTGGATCGTCTCCTAAAGCCCCGCTTGTAACCGCTCTTACTCCTTGGCAAGATTACTGCTGATTGAAATTCTGGTCTCCTGTGGGAAGCAGAGGGGGTTTTGTGCCCCTCAGGCTCCTGTCCACCTTGGTCCTGCAGTCTGCCCGGTGCTGCTCCCTCGGCACTGGAAGTGTCCCATTGTGGACTGCTGGTTTAATAACACGTGGGGAAGAGAATCACAGGAACAGCGGAGAAATGCACTGCATTTCTTACACAATTAATAATAATTAAAAAGCAAGCTGAGAAAATGCTGCCTGTGGTTCCTGTTTTACAAAGAGGCTGTGGAGCACCCACTGGTGTGGGAATAACTGTGCTACCTTGGCACTGAATGTCCTGAAGGCCTCGGTGCCCCTCTGCTCCGTGGGGAGGGTGGGTTTGGGGTAGGAAGGGCCATTCCCTGCCCTGGCTCAGCGAGGAGCTGGGCGCTGTCTTTGAGGGCTGCCCTGGAGAGGGGCTGCTCTCACCCGCAGTGTGCCCCCAGCCCTGGGGCAGGTGTCAGCCCCTTACCTGCCCCAGGAGTGCCTTGGCCCCAGTGAGGCCCCTCAGGACAGCTCAGGAGCCTCGATGGAATCACTGCTGAAGGAGAGCAGGTTGGTGCCCTACCACCCACCCACGCTGCAAAGGGCGGGTCAGAGGCTGCGTTTTTTGGGAGGGCCAAGGGGAGATATGAGGGCTCAAAGTTGGGCATACCCTGGTACAAGTCACCTCCTGTTTGCCTTCTGGATATTTCAAGACCAGACCCACCCTCTGCAGGGATCTTTCCCTTTCCTGTAATTCCTGTCCTTGGCAAGAAAGCTTCCCTGACACCCTGGGAAGGGCTGTGCCCTCACTCCCTTCTACATCAAAGCATTATTAAGAAAGGTGCAGTGCCACCTCTGCTGCCAGCCCCAGAGGGGGCTGAGAGGGGCTGGAGGTGCTTCTGCTGAGCTCCCGGGCTCTCAGGGTCCTGACTGAGCTGCCCTCAGCCTGCCCAGGGTGGGGGGCAAAGGCTGTGCCCCCGCTTGGTCCCCCAGGAGGCTGATGGGGTCTCGGGAGGACAGCCACGGTGTGGGAAGCCCATGGTGGATGGGAGGCTGCTCTCTGTGTCCATGGCCAGGACAGCAATGCTGGATCAGGCCCTGTCTCACTGGCTGAGGCTGCTCCAGGCGCAGCTCGGCTTTGGGCCAGCAGCAGCTCTCAGCCTCCCCTGCTGGGTGGGCACCAGGGCTCTCTCCTGCTCGGGCTGGCACCGCTGCTGCCATGCCCAGGGCCTGCCTGGCTGCCCGGGCCGGGGCAGCCCCAGCTCTGCTGGCAGGGCTTGTCCCTGTGAGGTGCATCCCTGCAGACATTCCAGGGCAGGGAGGGGTCCCGCAGGAGGTGGAATCCCGTGTCCCTACGGTGCTGGCAAAAAGGCTCTGGGGAAGAAGTGTTTGGGTTTTTTCTTCACTGTAAATTTTAAGCCTCTCCCTCCTGCAGCGGGTGCCCAGCCACGAGGGCACAGCAGGGATGGCATCAGCAGAGCAGCACCAGCCATTGCAGGGGCTGCTGCAGCTCACACGTGCTGGGAGGTGCTGGGGGATGCAGTGGGGCTGGGGGCACTTTGGTGGCACCACACCCCGGGCTGCAGGGACAGGACTGGTGATGGCTGACGAGCAGAGCCCGCTGCTGCCCTGTGCTGGCACCATCGGGCCGTGGGCAGGGCTCCCACACCTCACCGGGGGTTTATTTTTAAACCTGCCTTTTTTGGGGCACGCTTTCTGTTCCTCCTATCTTCTCTAGCCAGACTAGGTGCTTTGGCAGGAGTCACTTCTTCCCAGCCATGCCCACTGGGGTCAGGAGCCATCTGGGCTCATCCTTAGCCACACCGGTGCCGTGGCCTGTGGCGAGCACCTTTCCCATGCCCGTGCCCGTGAGTCACCACGGAGCGATTGCCTCACCCAGTGCTGACGCCAGCCCTGCCCACAGTCAGGTTTCACTTCTGTTCTCGCACCTGGAAATTCCACACCTGGGATTTCTTGCTCCAAGCAAGCTTGAGTGGCTCCAGCCTTTCAAGGAAGGGGCTCCATCATCACCATCTGTGCTGCTCTCCTGGAACAGCACCATCGGCAGCTGGTGATGCCTCAGGGTTTAGCTTTTATATTTTCACATTCTGTGCAGCTTTAGTGTGGGTCTAGGCTTCACATTAGGGGATGGTGAGCTCTCTGCACAGAGCAGGGAGACAAAACAATTCCTTCTCTAGCTGGGGACCAAGGACAAATGATCCAAATCTCAGGTCCAAGAGCACAAACACCGTGGACTGAAGAGAGAAAAACAAGAAGGATGGGACTTCATGGGCTAAAACTGTAATGGAACAATTAAACTCCAATATGCAAATGGACCAGAACTTATAAAAGTGAGAGACCCCATGACCTGTCATCCATTTTGTAACCATTTTGGTTCATCTTGGGTGCAGCCCTGGCTGGGCTCTTGTGCTGCCCAAGGTGGATCCATTGAGGCCTCCTAATAAATCCCTGCTTTATTCTTTACCTCTGTCCAGCCTCTGTTCTAGGTCAGCCTTCACAGGGCATCACTGGGACTGGAACAATGATTGTGGTGGGTGCCCAGTGCTCTGTAGACTCTGTTGGGCATGGTGTGATGTCCCCAGCCCGTGCTGGCTCTGGGGACTCTCCACTGCCAGGGCAGGAGCTGGCACTGGCACGGTTTGGAGGAGCTGTGGCCAATGCAGCCGTGCTTTGCTGGGCTGTGCTGGAGCATGGCATCGCTGGGCAGGACACACACCAAAGCCCAGGATGGCAACACCCCATCCCATGAAGAAAAAGCCCTCAGTGCTGCTAACCAGGCCCCTGGGGCTCAGCTGTGGCTGGGGGTGGCACAAATATCTGAGCAGGGTGCCCAGGAGAGATCCTCATCCCTCCATCCCAGCCACCGTGGGTGCCAGGGGCTGCGCTCACGGCCCGGCTTCGCCCTGCAGCTTTAGCTTTCCTTTGGTGCCTCTGAATTTCCTTTTGCATCTGTGAAGAGATGAGGTTTCGCTTTACTTCTCCAAACAGAAATGATACCTGGGAGAGAAAAGCCACAGCCATGGGAAACAGGAGCCAAAGCTGTCCTACAAGGATGTGACGCTGCTCTGTGACCCGACGGGTGACCCAAAAGTGTCTCGGCCGAGATCGGTGCTGTGGGACCGTGGTTGGTGGTGGATCACCCCTCTCCCACTGGGGACCCCACATTTATTTTTCATCTGTTGGGATTTTCTGCTAAGTTGCCCTCTATTCCAGCTGAGCTGTGCCTGTTTGGTTGACAGAAGTGGTCTTATTTTTGCTGGTTTGGACTTGTATTTCACAGCTATGCTGATCATGAACTTTGTTGTGTTGTACAAAAATTAATCTCCAGTGGGTTTCTTGAATGCGAGAGAAGGGAAGGACAGAGCCATTGCCCTGTTCACCCAAAGGGCAAACAAGAGACCCAGCCCACACCAGGGCTCAGGCTTTAATTACTGACCTGTCCCAACCTGCTGCTGTGAGAGAGGCTGGCACGGGAGCCTGGGCCAGTGGCCACATCCATGACTGGAAAACCTGTGCCCACCACGCTCTGGGGCTTTAGCACCGTGTTTTGCTGTCCTGGCTCTTCTCCAAGCTGTGTCTGCATCCAGTTTGGACAAAGTGGAACGAGCCACTGTCTGATCCATGCTGTCCCTTCCCATTCTTCATCTCCAGCATGGTTTTCCAGGAATGATCTGAGCACTCTGGGATGCTGCTGGAGCAGGGGAAGGGCTCAGGAAGGGGTGGATGGACCCTGTGAGTCAACAGCTGGTCCTGCTCAACCTCTTCACTAATTGAACATGAGCCAGGAAAGCGTCCTGGTGGGAAAGAAGGTGAATGGTATCCAGGGCTGCACTGGGAGGAGTGTTTCCAGAAGGCTGAGGAAGGTGATTCCTCCCCTCTCCTCAGCACTGGTGAGGCCACTCCTGAAGTGCTGGGCCAGTTTTGGGCTCCTCAGTGGGAGAGAGACATGGCAGGGCCTGGAGGAGTCCAATCAAGGTCAGGAAGGTGATGGGCAGGAACATCTCTGCCATGAGGAAAGGCTGAGAGAGGAGGCTCAGGGGCTCATGGTGCTGGGACAGCACAGCACAAGCTGAACCAGGGAAAGTCCATCTGAACTCAAGAAAAACAGGGACTGTGAAGTGTCTGCTCCATCCCATCAGCCCGTGCCAGCTGATCCTGCCACAGCAAGGCTTGGACTGGATGGTGTGGAGAGGTCCCAGGCCACCTCCATGACCACAACCATGCCACTCTGCTCACCCACAGCTGTACCTTTCCACATGCTTCCACAAGAACTTTTCTCCTTTTCTTGGACTCTTTGAACGCAGCACTTCAGTTCCAAATATGGAACCCATTAAAAATTGGGTCCTCCTGCAGTGTTCTGTGGTCATCGTGCAAGGCCCTGCAAAGTGCATTTATGCCTTCTACTTTCTTACTCTCTTTGCTTCCCAGACCCAGGCACTGCCCTAATTTTTTATATTTAATGCTTGATGAATGCATGAGACTTAAAAGCACAGCAGTGACCACAGGAGGTTCCCTTGATGGAAGGACAGTTTGCTGAGAGGTACCATTCCAGCTGTCAGCACAGGGATGTCAACACACCCTATTTGTGTCTCCAGGATGAAGAGGAAGGAAACCCCAGCCAGCCCCAGTGGCAGCCCTCCTCATCTTCATCTCCCTCCACAACTCTGTGTCCCACCTGGAAAACTTCAGGTGGAAGTGCTTCTGCTTTCACCTTTTTTCCTGCTTTGGTGGTGAGCCTGGTCCCTCAGGATAACACAGCCATAAAAGCTGATGCCTGCAGCCTGGACAGTGCAGTGCCCACTCCTGGCTGCTGCTTATGGCCCCAGCCCACCATGACCTTTCCCACAGGGAAACTGAGGCCTGAACTCCTGCTGCCACTCAGGAGGCACCAAACCCCTCCAGTCCCCGGGAACCTGTTGTCCCCAGGTGTCTCCCACAGCTTTCAGCACGGGCTGGGGCTGGGTCCTGCTGGCATCCCCCCAGTTGCCAGCCCCAGCCCCAGCATCCCCCGGCATCCTGGGCTGAGGCAGAGCAGGCAGGACAGGGAGGCAGCCGGGCAGGTAACAGAAACGAGGGGAGATTCCCTGCACCACTTTCATTTTCTTCTTTTCAGCTGTACCAGCCCAGGGTTTTCCTGCGAAGATGAAAGCACCAGGCAGGAATAAAAAGCTGGAGATGGAGCAGCAAGGCAGCCACAGCGAGCGAGG